ATTACAACACTTAGTGAGTTTTCTCATCAGCGTTGCCTAAAAGTGTAACAGCCATTGTTTGGCTCTGGGCGTCCTGTAATCAATCATGGCTGCTCAGAGAAGCTCAGAGTAATTGTTGGAGGCGYGAGCTGTCGTCGCCGGCCTCGCATGTTGTGACAGTGTGTGTCGGCTGAACAAAACGCAACAAAGCAACAAAAAGCTTCCCAGTCATGTTGCATCATGCTGTAGAAAAGAAGAGGTGTTTTCTTTGGCACTCGCTCAGTTCCAGTCCTTTTGGAGGAAAAAAAAAGTAAAAGTTGTAGTGTGGATGAAGACGTCTGAGCCCGTACTCGTGTTATTTGTGTCGTTTTAAGCCAGCGGCTCTTGTCTCTGTTTACTTTTTGATTCATTTATGTGCTCATTTAAACAATTTCCCTTTGACCTGACTATTGGCCCAAACATGGCTCTGATATTGTTGCTTTTAGCCGTGTTATGGATTACAGAGGGAGGGGAAAACCTGTCTTTGAGCAGACAGCCTTCATTCATTAGCCGAGACAGTTGATAACCAAATCTGACCTCTGTTCTGCTGTGAATCTGGGTTAAACACATCACAGAAGGAACTATTTATGTTTTGTCCACTGTTTTATTTTGGAAAAGATCCTCTTGAATGTCTAAAGTTGTACTCGATTTAAAAACTGTATCAAAGCTGCCAAAGTTTGCCTGTGAGGGTGAGGGATTCCCCATCAACTGTGAGTCTGTCTCCAAATGTAAAAAGTGAAGTAGTGCCACCTACTGTCCTATTTCCCCCTTTTATGTTATTAATATTACTCGAGGTTAAAAAACTCAGCTATGTATAGACTTATCTTATCTTATCAGTAAGTAAATGTTTACGAGAGCTTATGATAACCTGAACATTTGTTTTCCAGGGCGTTCTCCTTGTTTATGATATAACCAACTACCAGAGCTTTGAGAATCTGGAGGACTGGTTCGGCATGGTAAAGAAGGCCAACGAGGAATCTGATATTCAGCCTGTTGTCTTCTTGGTAGGCAACAAAAGTGAGTATAAAATTCACAGACTTAAAAAACTGTTATTTTTTTTTAGGAAATAGCTGTGAATGAAACAAGTTTAATCTGATTTATTGGACTGGAAATTTCTTGATATTTTTTATTTTGATTCCATTTTTTTGCGTGTGTGTTTTTGTAAGTGAAGGAGTGAGTGTTTGATGGTAGCAGACGTGTTTGCAGGAGCACTGGATAACTGATTGGTGTGATAAGCAGTGGGAATGCCGATGTTTGTGAGCTCATGGGAGTGACTGACTGTGATTTAATACCCTCGGGCCAGCGGACCCAGGTTACTGCTTATCTACAACCCTTTCCCTCCCAGTTGGTACCCGTCTGCTCCACCTCAACCCCACCCCCCCACCCCATTTTGAGCCTGCTTTCTTGTCCCCCATAAATGGTTAAGGTGAGGAGCTCAACGTTAACCAGACAGTTTTCTCCTATCAGTCCGCACCCATCCCCCTATCTTTCAAATAAAGACCAATAACGACTCTTATTTAAACATCTTCCTGACAAATGTGGAGTCTCGGCTGCTGTTCTGTTATTGTAAAGCAAGGCATCGGTGTGTGTGTGTGATGGTGACCGTCCACCTTCCTCAGCAATGATGGACGGTCAACAGAATGGTGCCTGCACACAGGAAGCTCCCACTAATGTTACTCAATGGGGCCCATAGGTCATGCTTTAATATGCCTGTCTTGAGCAGCTTCTCTCGTCTCCACCTTTTGTTGCAAATTTTGATGCCACCGGCTTAAACGCCGGGCGCCTCTGTATTTAGGCTAAGTTTTGGTTGTGTGGCTGAAAAGTGCGCAGTTTAGCGTTCACCCTGCTGTCGGGTTTCCTACTTGCACAGTCACGCTCCACCCAGTCGCTACGTTGCCAAGCATGGCCCCATGTGTGTTTTTGCTGTTCCTGCAGACTGAAAAAGAAAAGAAAAACAAAACCCCACACAGATTGCCCCACCAGGAGCAATCAGTTATCTTCCAAGACTTCACGAATCCCTGAACCYATCGATTAACTCCTTAATTTTTCAGAGTACTTGAAGCCAGAAGTCATGTAAAGAGATGGATGTAGTTGATTACTGTTAAAATGAAGCTAATGTGGAAGTTTCTTAAAGTGTAATGTCACTGATGATTGATAGATGGTGGAGCCCAAACAAACGTAGCTCCAATAGACTCTTATTTAAAAACCTTTTTATATTGTCAAACTCTAAATCACTGCAACTTTCCCACAAGTTGTTATGACTTCATAAGCTAGATTCAGGTTTTGTGAATACTACGGTCTTGGCCCAAGTTCCTTTTTTTTCCTTTTAAAGATCAAGATGATGAAAATTTAAATCTGGACTTAAAACAACAATTTGCAAACTAGTGAGAAATGTCATAATATATGTTTTTTTTTTTAATTTACAGCCTATTCTTGAAGTACATTAGTCTAGACATGTTGCTTGAAAAGTCAATACTTGCATTTTGTTTTAAATTTTTTCCCCTCTCAAGAATTGTGGCTTCCCCCTCACAAATTCAAAACTTGGCACACATTACCAATGAGCTAAGTGAACGAATACTCGGCATTCTTTTAAAAGTGAAGTTTGGATTTCAAATTGTTCCCAAGATATTGCTCTAAGAGAGGCAACATGTTTGGGACAACCAAAATAGAAGCACAGACATAAAAAGGACGTTACGAAAGCAAGACGGATTTGTCTCTGAGGGCTGTGGGTTTTGTCACTCAAACGTTAAAGAAAAATCTTTCTAATGAGATAAACTTAAGGTGAATACTGAATGATGATGTCATGCATTCTGGTACATTAGTACCACTTAAATGTTTCAAAAAAGTGCTTTTATGCGCTCTAAGACCTAGAACGTGATGTTTTCAGRATGTTGAAAACACAGATGCTACATTCTAATTTTATTGTGGCGTATGAACTCGTTGAGCTTAAATTTAAAGAAATGTATTCTTGTTTACCTTTATTTAAACACTACTCTTTGTACGGTAATTGAACCACTGGACTCAATAAGTTTATTAGCGATGCCGTCCCCTCCTTGCCTTACCTTGGCTTGTCTGCCGTTCTGCGCCGTGTCCCTGCTGGGGAACAGTCTTTCCTTTCTTTGGCTTCGCGTGGCCGGCTGGGGTTAAGTGTGCTTGTTAAGCACAGGCATGCCGCACACCCTTGCCCTCCACACGCTTGACCAGAGCTTTGTGCTAAATAATGGCTCCACTTGTAACAATTTGGAGAGGAAGCTAATGAAATGTTTTATTAAGGGCGCACATCTGTGCTCGCTGATATTTATGCGCGCACACTCTCTTCCACAGAAACACGCTGCACATACGTAAAATGACACACTTGTGAAGTTTCTGGGAACACAGGGGTAATGGAAGAATACTCAGTTTGTTTAAACACACTACAACTGTGCTTACAGCGCGGCCTCATGTTATACTCTGTGGAACACAAGGGCTTCACTAAGGTTTTTCAGTCAGGCCCCAACATCACGTGTTGTGCTTTGCTGTGGTAATTGTGTGAATGCTTCATAGCGTTCACACCTTTGAGCTCATTTTTTCTTCCGTACGTCTTTTGGCATCAAACTCGTTCCACAATTTTTGTGCTATTTCAACAATTCACATATCAAAAAGTTCAGCCCATTCATGTGAGAGGTGCTATGACATTTGGTATTTCAGCTTTTTATACCATTTTTTTTTAGCTATTTCACTTTTTTAGCCACTTTTTTGCCATTGAAAATGAATGGAGCTGTTTTCAACATCCTTAAAATCCTTTAAAATGTTTCCAAATCTTTACAGCGCCTTATACATGTTGTTCTGGTTATGCTCTTTTTTGCATTGTTGTGCTAATTTTACCTATTTTTTTCTAATTTTAGCTTTTTACTGCTATTTCAGTTAAAATTCTTCCTTTTCCTCTATTCTTCAGTTTTTTTCTACTTTTTGTGCTTTTTTTCTGCTACTTTGTGCTATTTATGCTTCTGACAGATGCTTTCTGCTATATTCAGCTATTTACTGAAATTGTAGCTAATGTTTTGCTGCTATTAGCTGAAGTTAGCTTTTGTAAGCTAAATACACATTTTTTTGTAACCATTTCAATTTTTTTCAGTTAAGTTCTGCAAACTTGTGCTTCTCATGCTTCCGTATGCTAATTAAAAAAGTTCCAGCTATTTTAGATGTTTTACTGAAAATTTCAGCTGTTTTAGCCATTTTACTACAAATTATCAATTTTTTGTAGCATTTTTTTCAGCTAGTTTTACAGATTTTTACAAGACTATCTAGGTGCTAATTTCAACTTGWGCCTGCTAACTTTAGCCTATTTTATGCTAATTTTAGCTATTTTATGCTACTTTAGCTATAGATCTGATTCTTTCTGCCACTCTTCTGCTTTTTTCTACTTTTTATGCCTTCATAGTGTTATTTTTACTTCTTACAGATGTTTTCAGCTATTTTCAGCTATTTTAGCTCTTAGCTTTTAGCTGTTTTCTGTTTTCAACTAGATCTGTGCTTCTTTTTACTGATTTTCTGCAAAGTTAGGTGTTTTTGCTTCTTTCAGTTTTTCAAAGTAAAGTGTTAATACGAAGTATTAACACTTTACTTATTAAACATTTTCAGCTCAGTTGTAGCAGCTTTCAGCTTAAGTTTTCAGCATGAAGCATTCGCAGTAGCATTTTCGCAGGAAATGCTACTCTAGGGTTGTGATCAAATAAATTGTCGCTGTTTGCGTCAGCTGGAAAGATTGAAAACTTACATAAAATAATGACAGCTATGATTCAGAGTTCTAATCTTTTTTTTAAACCATTGTACGCATTTTATGAGTTTACTGTTAAAAAGTAGTGCACATAATACTTTTCGACATTAAGTCTAAGCCATTTAATAAACTAATATGTTTTCATTAAGTGGCCATCACAGGACCCCTGCTCATTCCCCACGCATCACCCTTCCCACTGCCAGTGCTCTTTTTCCCTCAGGAACTCTGAAGCATCCATCACGGGCTCGTACAGCCCTTATTTGGGTGACTTAAATAGGGTTCAGTTCTCTTAACCCCTCCTCATCACTCACGACATTTTGCTCAGTGGTTCTAGCGCTGCTCACTGGCACTCAACTCGGGCCTGCCCTGGGAAAAATTATCTTCTGCAGGAAAATAAGGTTCCCGCGTTAGAAGAGTTTGTGCACGCCAGTGTGGCTCACCTGCCTTTTTTTTCTTCTCCAAGCTGCTATCTTTACCCACCTGTAAAACATCGTTGTGCATGCATTTTCATCCTTGTGCAAACACAGTTTCTTTCAGTCACACACCTGCTCTTTAGGCTTATCTCTCACATGTGTAGGCTAACACCTCGGCTATAGCTGCCTTTGCTTACAGTAATGCCTTTTCATTTGCTCCACATCTCTGTTGTGTTAAACAATATGCATGTGTTTGCTTTTTGCATGCTACAGCAGATCTCACTGCATACCATCGCCCGTCACACTTCTCTTGCCCCAGATTTCCATTCAGCCATGAGAAAGTTCAAGTGAAACATGGATATCCTCTAACTCTACATGTCTCATGAAGCATGTCTTTGCCCAACATTGTTGGTCTCGAGTTGTTTGCCCTTTTGGCTCGGCTTWTGGGTGTAGTTGAAGGCYCCCCCCCCCCCTCATCTCCCTCAACCCTGTCACCTCTCTGCCCCTGTAAAGCTGCCACAGTTCCTGTCTGTTCAGTGTAGGCCTGCACATTTCTTAATAGAGAGATGCTCAGAAGTCCAGGAGTGCAGAGAAGCTCAATGCACTTCTGTTTTTGGTTTAGCTCAAAAATGTTTTTCCTGGCTCAACCCACTCGTACTTAGGTCCTCTTACAACAAACTAAAAGGTCCTAATTGCCCCCAAGGGAAAGGTTTAGCCACAATAGACATGTGGTGGGACAAAAGCCCAGTGCTCTTACCCGACACGCTCGCCCCTCCCCAGATAGGAGGGATGAACACGTCAGCAGTGTCTGTTTTGCTCTGTGGGTAGCAAGACCACAGGTTCGACGC